TTTGGTTAAGAGCAGGTAAGTGTTTGCCACTAAGCCAGACTTGGTCGCCCACCTTATGTTCCACAGCCCTGCGGCGGGCGTCAGCGTAGTATTTCTGACGCCACTTTGCCTGGAGGATGTGGCTCTGTGCACGATCGCAGAGCTGCCGGAAAAGTTTCGTCATAGGGGGGGGTGAGCGGAGGAGCCAAAGCAGCAACAATGTCTAGGTCTGCCGCGGTTAAGGGATTCTCCCCACTCATGATTTCGAAAGGGGAAAGCTCGGTAGAGGAATGACTGGCGGTGTTATACGCGAGCTCCAAGGCAGGCAGCAGGCCTTCCCACTCCCTCTCATCCGCCTAGATGTACGTGCGTAGCATCTGTTCAAGGGTGCGGTTAACTCGCTCGGTCTGGCCATCCGTCTGCGGGTGGTAAGAAGAAGACATCGCCCGGGTAATATTGAAACGTGAGCACAATTGCGACCACACTTCCGATTGGAAACGAGGATCCCTGTCGGAAATAAGGACGTCGGGGAAGCCGTGGTAGCGGATGAGACGGGCGGCAAGGAGCTCTACAGTGTCAGCGGCTGAGTGGGACTTCTTGGCCGGAATAAAGTGAGCCATCTTGCTGAGAGAATCAACGACGACCAGGATGGCGTCGTGCCCAGTGGTAGTGAGGCGTAAGTCGGTGACGAAATCTAGGTTAACATGGCTCCACCGGCGCGAGGGGATAAGCAGCTGGTGGCGTATGCAGGCTGCGCTCTCCGGAGCCTGCTGTATCGGAGCAGCGACCACTGCCTTCCGTTTGCCCTTTGAGGGTGGCTTGTACCTCTTGGAGGGCGGGCGAAGAAGAGCCGTAGCCTCCTCCCTAGTCATGTCTGCTACCTGCTTAGCCAGTATGTCGTACGCCTGCTCCGCGAGGGTCCGCTGACGCGTCCCGTGAGTACTGCCGTTCCGTTGTGTGACATCATTGGCGCGAACAACAGGTAGATCGCACCACTGGCCATTCACATACGTACGTAGCTTATCAGACTGGAACTACCACGCTACCCTATGATTAGTCAGCCAATCACGCCCCACCACTAGGTCATATGGCACAGGCCCGACTAAGAAGTCGCCGGCTAAACGGGTAGCCCCAAACCGCATAGTGAGTCCCTTCACCACGCGATCTATCCTCAAGTGCGCACCGTTAGCTAAGACGCATTCTTCAGGCAGCTTCCGCGCTTTCAGCTGTAGGCGTTCCACTGCCCCTGGGCCAATGAAGCTCCTTGAGGCGCCGGTATCTAGAAGAGCTTCGCACTGGCTGTCGGCCACTTCGACTCTGAATACGGCGGTCATACCCACACACACAGAGGCCCCTTGGAAGTGGTGTCTTCCTGCGTCCTCTGCGCGCGCCACCACTGTAGTTCTTTAGTGCTCATGTCCTGCGGGCGGCCCCCTTCAGCGGCGGCGGCGTTTAGCTCGCCGCTGTGGTCCAGTTCACGCCTAGACCCTTCCTCAATTAGCAACGCAGTCCCGGCGTGGGACTGGTCCGCCGAGGCTTGCTGGATCCCCCCCAAGTCCGGCCCCTCTGCACGTTCCTGCTCCTCCCGACTAAGCAGCCTCTTTCCCCAATCTGGGGGGGCTGGAATGGAGTTAGGAACTGACACTGCTGCGCACATCGCGCCTTTTCCACTCACAGTCCGCCCAGCACGGTCATCTCCCTTAACGGCTCGACTCGTCCGTGTGAAGGCCCCACTGGGTCCACGTTGGGCCGCGTTGGCTGCGGCCTGCGCTGCCTGGCGGGCTCTGCTCTGAGTCGAGCCGGCGTGGGACAGTCTCTGGCGTAGTGGTCCCAGCCGCCACACCTGGAGCAGGTTTCCCCAGGCCGTCGCGTCGCTCCGCTGCGGAGCGGACAGTCCCTGCCCACATGTCCTCTTCCGCTGCATGCATAACAACGCAAGTCCGCAGCATCATTCCATCTGTTTTCCCTGCTCTCTCGTGCGCGTAGTGGGCCCGGCTCTCGCCCGCCTTTAGTCCATCTACGCTTGGCGTCCTCTAAGTCCCGCTGGAACCGGAGGCGGTCTTCGCACAAATCCTTCCACGGGGCCACCGTGGTAGCCAGTGCTGCGGCGGCTTCCTGCCAGTCCGCGAACTTCCTTGTTCCCCCTTGAGTTATCTCTCGGAGGATTTCATCTGGCAAGTTGGCCAAGTAGTAACCCACCAACAGATCTGGAGCCACTGACACCCCTTGAGCCACGATGTCCGCAAAGCGCGCAGAGTATGCGCGGTGGTCGCCCCTCCATACATTCTTCGCTATCATGACTTTCATCCGTTCCAGACTTATACAGAATTGCGCACAGAAGCGCTGTCTCAGTTCCTCCCAATCAGTCAGGGGTACTCCCGAGCGACGCAGATACAACCAGTAACCCAAGGCGTCTCCCGTCAGATATCTTTTGAGTTGTTCTCCCCACTGCCGCTGTTCCAGCCCTCGTTCAGTGAAATCTAACTCCACAAGGTCGAGGAAATCCCTCATGTTCTTGCCGTCCTCGTATTCGATGGGCCTCTGGGCTTCTTCCACTATCCCCCGTGCCACCTGAAAGGCGAGTCGCCGAAAGAACTCGGCCATTTCCGGTTTCATCCACACTCGATTCATTTCGGGTTCCTTGCGTCCTCCAACGTCGCGGTCCTGGTTTCTCGGCATCGGTCGGCCTACCCTTGCGATGTCGCTACCGGGTTCCGTTCGTTTCGATTCAATAGGGTGCCCCGCGGTTTCTTTACTTGATACCACTACATTCGGCATTCCTCCGTTCGGTTCTGGTGGAGGTTGTACCTCTTTTCCGTTGCGTAGGTGCGTGTCCATCCCCACCTGAATGCCTTTCGGGACTTTTCGTTTGATATGGACTAAGGCACATTCTTTGTCTCGAGCAGCAGGCGTAGGGTGCTCCGTCGATATGTTTATTGTGACTCGTTGGGCTTGCGGCGCCATCACTGTAGTGAACAGCTGGTCTGCGTCGTTACTGCGTATGGTCCCTGGGCTCGTCTGACTTAAGTGTACACTCTGCACCTGCAGTCCAAAGTCCATGATTCTCGCCTACCACTACTGAATACCATAAATAGCCATATAAAATTTTGTTCATATTATTGAAAGGTAAGAGAAACCCAAAATAATAGAGCTGACTGTTGGCCCTCGCTGAGGGTCAGTGCACCAACCTCACGTCCAGCCCCATACCCGGTGCTCCCTAGCGAGCACACTATTCCCTTTTATGATTTCACAATATCCAATGGTGCCTTATGCCTTAAAATATTCTATATTATTCATGCTCTTTCCCGTTACAAAGCCTCGAGGGGTGGCGACGAAGGTCAATTGTAGTGCCTACAGCGTGCCTTGACCGCCGGTGACTTCCCCAATCGCAGCAGCCGCCACATATCTTTGTGAAGGAAATACAATATCACAAAGTTGTCATATACTATAAGGATTTTTCCAAAGGTTGATAAATGTGCCGGCACTACCGAAACAGTCTACTGAGCAATTGTATAGTGGGGTCAAGGTGTCGTACAGCTCCCCTCACGACCTCACTGCACACAGGCCACATCGTTGCTACAAACTCTCACGTATTCCCGCTCTCTCTCTTCTTAGCCCTTTCGTTCTTCGTGCTCATTTTGTTTGGTTTTCTGCTACTGTCACTTAGCCAGTTGTTAGGCAATGACTCACGTAGGGTTGTTGGCATGTTACGCTGGGCTTCTCGCCAGCGTCGCCTTACCACACTTCTCATTGGCACTTTCCCTTCGCTCTGGCACAGCGACGTCTCAGCAAAACAGCCTCCGCACAAATTTATTTGCATCCGGCCAAGTTGCACTGCGAACGAAGCCCTCAGCCAGTGATAAAACTGAAAGTGAGCTAGTAATCAGAAAAAATGAATGGCGCTACGCTAGCCCCAGCTACAGATCTATAGAGATCTGGGGGCCCCCCGAGATTATGCCTGGGCATGATTTTCAGTTCAACTTCAGCGCGAATGCCTAAGTTCTTGACGAATGACATTCGGCATGGGCTTTAGTGCAGCCCCACCCGCGGCTAGTGTGCGGCCCCGTCGAAGTAAGTGCCACGATACAATTGCATTGCCATGACGTCGGTGTTGGCTTGTCATCTGCAGAATGCCTGAACATCATAAACAAGCTAAGGAGCGAAAATCTCAAGGACCTGTTGACAACCCTCACCAAGGCAGAGGACAGTGAGGTGACTGCAAGCCTGAAGAAGATCGGAAAAGCGCAATCAGAAGAACTAACTGCCGTGAAAATCGCAGTAAAGCTTGCAGGCGAAGATGCAACAACATGTAACTTAGGCCAAACTGCGGATGCGAAGACGGTAGGGCTGTTAGGCTTTGAGTATCGTTGAGCAGCAGCTTTCCGCTAAATTGGGGAATCGCCTGAGCACAGAGCTAAAGCCCAATATTATCCTACGCATGCGGGAGACTTCTGGAGCAGATGTCTTGGTGTTGTGCTACAGTATCCCGGACTTGTAATTCCATTCCCGCATTCCACAGATTTCGACTGCGACGCGTTGATCCAGGCGACTTACACAGCCGGACTCAACCACCTTAAACAGTCCGTTATTTTTTGCTTCATTTCCTTTCCCCGGTGCCACAGTGCCTACGCCTTCTAATTTGTGGGTGTGTTGGAGTTTTGTGTGTACTTTAGCACGCACAAGGTGACTGCTTATCCCCTAGTCAAGAGTTCTTTTAGATGCGCAGCTTCGTGGTGCTTGTCTCAGTCTCAGTACTTGCCAGAAAAATATTCTTGCTCTTGAGCTATTCTGTTTTGAATCTTACTGCCTTTGTACTACAGATCGAACTTCGAGCCATCAACAGGAACATACGATGTTGAAAACGCTCCATTTAATAACGTAGACGCTAGCAATGTCGCGTTTCTGCTGTCGGAGAAGAGCAAAAAGGTCTCATGTGCCGCCACCGAAAACTGCTCTGACGGCCATGACGTTTTATTCTGCTACTTCATAGACCCACTTCAAGAAGGAGATAAGCCTTTCACGTAAGCTGAACTAACCTTGTGACTACCAGCAGCACAAGGGGCACAACACACTCGCAAAAGAGCTACAGGACAGGAGCACGATATGTTACAGAATGGGAATTGCAGGCTGCAACAAGGATAATTACAATTGTTGATTAATTTGGCCTGCAGAACTGAGCTTTACAATGCTCTCTGGGGATTGGAAACAGGCGCAGCGTTCATCTCGGTTCCCAGCGTCGCCACCGTTCTTTTGGTCCTCGCTCTGATCATTCGCACTTGAGCTTAATAAGCGAACGACAGGTCAGCTTCTGGAGATGTCGAAGTTGTACGAATTCGTTTTGAAGACATTCCTGAATCGTTTAGAGGCTGGTTTTCGATTTCTAGTGTTATTATGTGCTGTCATGTGGCTGGTGAGGAAGAGCTTCTGCAAAAATGCAGAATAGGTTTCTCTCCCCACTGCATCTTAGTACTGCATTCTAGTTTGCGTTGAATGGATCATGTAACTTTGAATGTCACTGTTGCGCAATTCTATTGCGGAAACGCTGAAGCCGCTTGAGTGAGCTGACTGCGCACGCCCTGTTACGTTAGACTTGGCAGCCTTGTTGCTCTCCTGAAATGCATTTTAATTCAGAATCGGGCAAAGCTCCGTACGAACACATATTGCATTGGCAATTTGAGACTCCGTTTATTAAAAGGATTTTATCGTCTAGACAAGCAACTGAAACTTCAGCTACCAAAAGTGTCTCAATTGCCCAGTTGACAAAGCTATTAGCAGCACATCTGACAAAACTATCAGCAGCAGCAGGCGGAAGTTTCGACAGTCTTAAATAGCCTACGTCGCGACAGCAACGCAGCATCAACGTAGCAGCAAGCACTCTGCTCATGCGCGCCCTGGGATCCCGCGCTCCACAGAAGCCACCCGACCAGCTAGCTAGCTCGGTAGCTATCCAGCTAGTCAGCTAGCCAGGTAGCCGGTTAGCGAGTTAGCCAGATAGCTAGCTAGCGAAATAGCTAGCTAGCTAGCCGGCTGCTAGTCAGCTAGTTGGAATACTAGTGGCTAGCCACTAGTTTCTTGCCTTGCAAGCTGCTTGAACAGCTAGCTAAGAACTAGCTTGCCAAGACCCTAAACCCTAAACCCTAAACCCTAAACCCTAGAACTGAGCTATCGGCCAAGAAAGGCTCTGTCTATTCTGAGGCCCAGAGTGAAAAGGGCATTTAATCCGTGCGGGTGTGCACGTGACCGCCAAACCCTAAACCCTAAACCCTAAACCGTTGTTCGCCGCCAATCCTGCGGCTTTCTGGCAGCAAATTCATAGCAACCGCGCATCTCTTTGGCGCCGCCTGCAGCAGTAGCAACTGCAGCAGAAGCAGCAGCAGCAGCAGCAGCAGCAAAAAGTTTTCTTAAAATTAGTCTCATTTTCACAAAGCTCTACTGGGCATTGCGAGGCTCGAACTCGCGACCTTGGGATTATGAGACCCACGCGCTACCGACTGCGCCAAACGCCCGCGGGAAAACCCGCTAAACCCTAAACCCTAAACCCTAAACCCTAAACCCACTTCTCCCATGCTCCTTGAAGAGGGACAAGCAGCTGCAGCAAGCCAGCCGGAGTGGTCATTCCATATAGTCTAAAACAGCAGCAGCAACAAAGCAGCTGCAACAGCAGCAAAAGCAGCTGCAGCAGCAGCTACAGATGCTGTTGTTCAGGGTCACCATTAGCTAGGGTTTGCTGCAGAGCAGCAGCAGAAAATGCTGCATCTTTCGCCTCCCATTCTTTCCCTGTCCTTCTTGCTGCGCAGCAGCTCGCTGCTCCCCGCGCTGCAGCAACAGTTAGCTAGCCAGCTAGCCAGCTAGCTAGCTACTTAGCTAGCTACATAGGCGAGTAGGTACCCCCAGAGCTAGTCGTCGACAGGCTGGCTGGCTAGCTAGTGCTAGCTAGCTAGCTAGCTAGCTACTACGTGTTGTGTGGCTTGGGGGCAGTTTGCATCCCTCTCTCCGAGCTGAGGACGAATGGGCTGCAGGAGCCGCCGATCCCAGACCCTAAACCCTAAAACCTAAACCCTAAACCCTTATTTCGGAACCAACTTACAGAATCAACTTGCAGGACCCAATAGACAGAGCCAGCAGATTGGCAAGGTGGCGTTTATGTCCTAGAAATACTGGAGTTATGAATGCGCTATTTATTAGGCATTTCTCAGGGTTTAGGGTTTAGGGTTTAGGGTTTAGGGTTTGTGGCTCAGGGCTTGGCTGCTGCTGCGCGAGACAGCTGCGACAAGGCGAAGTCAGTGGGGCTGTCGTCACCTGAAAAATATTAAATTCTGGCTATTCTATACATTTAACTTTTAAATTAAGCTTGAGGAATTTAGGGTTTAGGGTTTAGGATTTAGGGTTTAGGATTTAAGGTTTAGGGTTAAGAGTTGGACGCGTGCATGCTCCGGAGCGGCAGCTGCTGCTGCAGCGGATCTGTGTCTGTCAAGTAGCAGACACAAGAGCTGCAGCAGCAGCAGCAAAAGTGGCAGCAGCACCAACGGAGGGTGCAGCAGCAGCACGGCAGCAACAGCAGCAGCAGCAGTAGCAGCCGCACCATCAGCAGAGACAGCAGCACCGCCAGCAGCAGCAGCGGCAGCAGCAGCAGCAGCACATCGGGGAATATACTGCATACTAGCTGCTATGTTTTCACCTGCCGTACGGACAGCTGCAGCTGCAGCAGCAGCAGCAGGTGCAGCAGCTCCTGGTGTCTCTCGTGGGCCGGCTTCGGCTGCTGCAGCGGCAGCGAACGCAGCAGCAGCAGCAGCAGCAGCAGCAGCAAAGGCGCAGCAGCATGGGGCGTTGGCGACGCAGCAGAGACACTTTGGCTTTTTCGGTAGCCGCAAGGGACGGGAAGAAGCAGCAGCAGCAGGAATAGCAGCAAAAGGTGCAGCAGCAGCTGCGACAGCAGCAACGCGTGCCGCTGCTGCTGCTTCTCCTGCATCCCCGAAAAGCCCTGCGAGCAGCAGCAATCCAACACCCTTGTCACGGGCAACGCCCAGCAGCAGCAGCAGCAGCAGCAGCAGCAGCAAAGG